TCAACCTGTGGGTCGCGACCCCTTTGGCGGTCGAGTGACCCTTTCACAGGGGTCGCCTAAGACCATCCTGCATATCAGATATTTACATTATGATTCATAACAGTAGCAACATTACAGTTATGAAGTAGCAACGAAAAGAATTTTATGGTTGGGTCACAACATGAGAAACTGTATTTAAAGGGCCAGAAAGTTGAGAACACCGGCCTAGTGCATAGTAGGTGCTTCAATGTTTGAAGGGAAAAAATGTGATTTAGTCAAGTTGACTGATTTTACCAGACCAGCATTATGGTCTGGTACTCTGAACTGGTTAAAATAGTGGCAAAATAGCTCCTTGTATCAGCTGGTGACCTACACACAGGTATCATTTTGGAACCTGTTTCTTCGATGCAGTATGCTGCTGTATGGATATAACCCTCACCAGGTGGGGCAAGAAGGTAGGATGAACCCAATAAATCAGGCAAGACAAAGCCTCATGTTGTTAAGTCAAATGGCAGAACTCCCAGGGGCAACAAGTCATTCTTCTGACCTCCAACAGTATAGCTTAGTTCACAGACTGATAACCATGCATCCTGACTTTTCCAGGTCACTCCCAACCTAATGTAGTTATCCTGTTTCCCCTCCATACGTACATTCATACTCATAAGTCTGTACCCTGGTTTGGGATTCTGAAATAAGGCCACCTTACCTATAAACCACCGAGCAAACGCCTGATCACCCCTTGCATAGCTCCAGTTTAAGTGTAGGACCCAGCTCTTAAAGTGGTGCTTCCCCCATTTCACTCAGAAGACAGCATGGCTCATTCATACAACACTATTACCTTGTATTATTTTATCCGTATATCTCAGTTGCCCCAACTGGCTTATCAACCCCTTGAAGGGATGTGTTTTGGTTATCTTTGTCTTTCCTCAGCTTCCAGCTCAGCACCTGTACGAAGCATTCCCAAACACTGTGGGCGAGAGTGTAAATCCATGCATCTTTAAGAATACATTACCAATGAGATCCAGCAATTCCACTTATAGGAATTTGTCCTGAAGATACACATTCACAAATGAGGAATGATATACATATTATGAAATGCTCATTTCATCAATATTTATAATAGCAAAAACCTGAAAACCATTAGTAGGGACTGGATAAACTAATTATGATAAATTTATACAATGAGATATTATCCAGCCATAGGAAGAACAAGGTATGTTTGTGTATACTGACATAAAAAGAGGTCTAAGTGGTATAGTACATTCTATTACCCAAAGCAATATACAGATTTAATGCAACCCCCAATGTCATTTTTTAAAGAAATACAATGAAAAATCATCAGATTTGTATGGAACCACAAAAGACCCTGAATAGCCAAGGCAATCCTGAGAAAAGGCATCACACTACCTGACTTCAAATTACACTATTGAGCTACGATAATCAAAACAGCATGGCATTTGCAGACACACAGAATGGAACAGAACAGAGAGCCCAGCTATAAAACCACATGTATATGGACAGATAATTTTCAACAAAGGAGCCAGAAACACACAATGGAGTCAAAATACTCTCTTCAATAAATGGTGCTGGGAAAACTGGAAAGCCATATGCAAATGAATGAAAGTGGATTACAATTTGTCCCATGTATAAAAATTAATTCAAAATGTATCAAAGACCTAAATATAAGACCCGAAACAAGTTACATAGAAGAAACTATAGGCACCAAACTTATGGACCTTGGTCACAGAGAACATTTTATGAACTTGACCCCAAAGGCAAGGGAAGTAAAGGCAAAAATAAATGAATCGGACTATATCAAACTGAAGAGCTTCTGCACAACAAATTAAGAAGCAGCCAACCAGATGGGAGATATTTGCAAACAGTAGCTCTGATAAAGGTTTAATTTAAAAAATATATAAAGAACTCATAGCCCTAGCTGGTTTGGCTCAGTGGATAGAGCATCCGCCTGTGGACTGAGGGTCCAGGGTTCGATTCCGGTCAAGGGCACGTACGTAGGTTGCTGGCTGGATCCCAGGCCCTGATTGGGGCTTGTGCAGGGAGCAAGCAATCAATGTGTCTCTCTCACATCATTGTTTCTCTCTCTGTTCCCCCTTCCCTTCCACTCTCTATCTAAAAACAAAAAA